ACTGGTGATTCATAACACAAATGTAATCAGTGCTACAAACAGTATACTTAAAATGTTAAAATGGAAATTTTATTTTATACACATTTTATCACAACAAAAACTTTATAAAAGGTAAAAAAAATCAAAGTATATATTTTACAGAAGTGAATTGTAGAATATGCAAATTTTATCTCAAGAAAGCTATTTTTAAAAAACACTTTTAAATAAAAGCCCAAATAGGAAACTGTTGGAGGTATTCTTGGTCGAGGGAGAAAGGCTGCTTTGGAGGTCAGGCAGCATGATTTGTGAGAGCGTGGACAGAGGACGAGGAGGAACCCACGTTCCTTAGGGTAAGGAGGAGAGCAGGGGGCAGGCTGGGGACAGCAGGGGGCCTGCCTTGCACTTTCTGCCCCTCTTGCTGCTTAGACTAGCACTGGAAGAAGTGGCTCAGGGCCAGCCTGGTGGTCCCTGTGCGTGCACCTCTGTCACCACAGGGTGACCCCATCCCCATCTCTCCCAGAACAGAAGTCAAGTTAGGAGGCCACTTAAAATCAATGAATGTGAGACAATTAAGAGATGACCAAGAATTTCCAAAAGCTGAGTGAAGTTTCTAGTTTTTATACCAGTGAACAAAGCATGACCCTGTCCACCCTAGAATCATGCATGAAGTGCGCATCCCTGTGCCTGTCCACAGCCCTGCCTGCACAGGGTCCGTAGGAAGTATTTGCTGGTTGGTTGTTAGACCTTCCTACCTTCCTGATGAAAATCATGCCATCTTCCCTATAAGTTAAAAAAAAAAAAATCGGTGGACTCTAGCTCCCTTTGGGGAATTATCGTGGCCCCACCGTGAGTCAAGGACGCCTTGGATTCACTTTCAGCCTGTGTCTTGAGGTGTTTCAGAGCCTTCTGTTGATGATTCTAACTCTGGAATCACTTGCCTTCATTTGGGTTACAAGTAAAGGCTCATTTGCATAAAATCAATTATTATAAGTCTGGCTCCAGTGTCTTAGGTGAAGGTTCATCTGGTTCTGCTCTGGAGAGGGTCTGCTGAACACATTAGGAAAACTCCACTGAGCTGTAGTCCAGAAGCTTCTCCCTGCTGAATGCTCTCCGCCGTGGTGAGTTCCTCAGCCAGTTTGGGGGACCGTGATGGTCACATTTCTCCAACGAGGAAGACTGCTTGATGGGAGGGGACGGGGGAGCCAGCTCTTGGACTTATTTTCAGTTTTCATGTGCTTCCTATGGGGCGGAGGCCTGGCCACGTGTGGTCACAGAACCCACGACTGCAGCAGCCGACTCCTTTCATCTGTCCCCACATGTTGAACACCAGACTGCGCCCAATACCGCTCCCTTTTCCAGGCATTTCGGATCACACGTGTTCCTTTTAACTCCCACCAGACCCTGAGATCTGCCAGCCAGAGAGACCATTCTGGAAAGATTTTGAAAAGGTCAGGAGAAAGCTGGTGAGCAGCAGCCTGAGACTCCCGAAGCGCAGGCCCCCAGGTCAGCCCCTAACTCACTCAGACTCAGATGTGGGGCTCCGTGACCTCGCCGTATCTCGGTTTTGTTGCCTATAAAACACGGATAGTAACACTTTGGGAACAGACACGAACTGGAATGCATTTTGTGATCTTTGGAGCCAAAGCACCCTGTTAACATGTGCTAACAATGTGTTACTCTGGGCCAGGCCTGGAGCCACAGCCACCAGGGTCGTCTGGGGAACCTCTGCCAAGAGCAGCCAGATCGCTCCAGCCTCCAAACCCCGACTCTGGGTCCAGCTGGCATGAGATAAAGGGCCACTCTGCCCAGCTGTCTGTGCCCGGCTCACCCACAGCAGCTCAGCAGTTCCCCAACAACCCGCTCGCCACTGCGGGCCCACCTGGCTCAGGTCTGTGAGACCTCCCATGTGTGGGACAGAGCGCTCAAAGCCACCTCCTTCAAAAGGAATGATTGAACCTCATGGGTGGACGTGCAGTGGGGTAAGAGGGTCTGTGGTTTGTTTGGGTCTTAAAAAAGAAGTTGGTGGGCTGGGGCTGTAGCTCAGTGGTAGAGCGCTTGCCTGGCACGATGTAAGGCCCTGGGTTCGATCCTCAGCACCACATAAAAATAAATAAAGATATTATGTCCATCTACAACTAAAATATATATATATAAAAAGACGTTGGCAAGATGAGATGAACGATGGCCTTCTGGCTCCTTCCTTGCTCTGCAGAGTGGAGGCTCATGGTGCCCAAAGCCAGAGAGAGCTCCCCAGAGGGGGAGGAAGGAGGCGGAGGATGTCAGGGGAGGGGGAGCCAGTGTTGCCAGGAACTGCCCCTGTTATCTCTGAGAGTCATGCAGTGGCCTCTGGACATCGTGTGGTGCTTGGAGGAAGCCACAAGAATGTTCTCAGGGAAACAGGGTTGATCTCTGTGGCCCCGTGCAGATCCCTTTCCCTGATCCCTTTTCTTACTCTCTTCATCTCCCCTCTCAATCCTTCTCGCTTCCCTAAATGTTTTCTCAAGAGGAAATCGGGGCAGCAAAGATACTAATATTCGGGCTTGACCTTTCCCTGATGACCTCAAAATTTAACAGAGCAACGTTACCCCAAAGCTTACATCCCTGAGGGGTAGACGTTTGGACACTGTCCCAGGGCAACATGGACGGAGCGGAGAGAGGGCAGGGGAGCTGCTCCAGAGCATCCCGGTGACCAGCACAGCCCAAGCTGACCTTGACCTTCCACCCTATTGTGCAGACACAGTTCCCGCACACAACGCAGATGTACAGAGGAGGCCAAAAGAAGCAGTGATGGTCTCGGATTATGAAAACCATTTTAGAAAGTCTACAGGGCCAGCGTGGCGCCTGCCACCTCCCCCTGCATGGAGGACCACAGTGAAAAGAAAAGGGGTTTGCATATCAGCAAGAAGAATTCCAGAGAGATGCAGGAAGAATCCCCAGACAGAAAGGTTCGTGGGCCCTGTTCAGCATTCCTGCCTGTGGGATAAGCCCTTCTCTTTGAAGGTCTGGGAGTAAGTAGGGGCCCCATCACCTATAGGAGCAGATGGTCAGCAAGATCCCCTCCAGGGCTGAGGCTACCTCGCCATCTAATTTTAGCAATTGCTCTCACAAAGGACGGTTCCCCTTCCTGCAGCTATCTGGGGTTCCGCACACCATCTCCCCTGCTTCCTTTGATGTGGGCCGGCTCTGTAGACTCCAGGCCAGATACGTGGCAGGAAGGAGCACGCTCAAAGCCATTATATTCCTATGTCACTGCAACAGGGACATGCCTACGTTTGTTTTTTTAATTGTGAAATTGCAGCATCCAGTTTGAAATTAAATATGAGCTGTTGGGTTTGGGATTCATCCTTGGAAATGATCTTTATGTCAACTGCCAGCCAGCATTCTCTTGCTTTGGGGGAGGGGGGGAGGGATGGGATGTTTAAACCATGACTTTATGTTCCCAGTTCACTTTAAAGTTTCATTCATATTTTAACTCATTATAGATGAATGCAATTTTAGCCTGTGGTGTAATGACAGCAAGTGGCTGGCCGGACGGCCGTGGGAATGTGTTTCTCATTGTGGGAACAACAGTTAGTAAAGTTCTTCAGCTCGGAGAAGGGAATTTTTTTTTTTTTAAGAAATCACAAGTTCAAATTACTTTTTTGTCTCAAAAGTTAATCCTGTGGAAAATGTGGCAATGTTTCTGAATTTTGCAAAATATTGTGGTGGTATCTATGTCCTATTGCTCAAGATTTAAACCCTTTGGGTTTATTTTTTTCCAGTTGGGGAGGTGGGTTGTTAGGCATGGGCATTTTATTTTTAACTTCCTGGTCTCACAGTGTAAAGAATAAGCCGGGGAGAGGAGGGCTGCAGAAACGCCCCAGCTTCCAGATCATCCACAGCGACACTTTCTGAACCAAGGATCTCTGTGAAACCTACTTTTTTTCCCCACTGATGGTTTCACTGTTGTGAGGGAAAGCAGAGGTGGACAGAGGGAGGGGGACGAGTTTGCCGTTCCTGTTTGAGCGAGCTGTTGCTTTGGAAGTGTCAAAACTGTTCCAGGAACTCTTTGCTTTGAAGCCAAAGATTTCACCCTCAGTTTTCGCCTTCCCGTGGCCCCCAGCGAGCTCGTGGTCTGACTTGAGAAAGAGCTGCTAAGGGTCAGACACTCGGAACGGCGGCGTGGTGGAGGCGAATCTGCTGCTCTCTGTATTTGACTGCATGACCGGCACAGATTGTATAGCAAACATTTTTTTTTTTGCAAAAAAAGTGGGGTGTAACCATCTTGCTTTTCTTTAGAAGTATCACTTAAAAAGCCTTTACTGCTAGACGGTCTTTGATAGAAAATTGGGATGCATGAAATACTAGTGCTTGTACATTAATGCACATCGATAAGTTTCCCTTCTCCAGAGATGCAGTTCCCCCGCCCGGCCTCTGCCCCCAACCCCACGTGGAGAGCCTCCCTTTCTGATTGCCTCTTCTGCCCAGATCATCGGGTGTTTTCACGTTTCCCTCAGCTGAATCCCATCCTCAACCCCCCTTCAGCAGCCTTGTCACGTCTAAGCTGTTCAGCTGGGCTGAAGGGTGCAAAGTGACTCACCCCTGCTGGAGTGGACCCAACCTGGAGAGCTCAGAGACGGCAGGGTGACAAGGCGGAGCGTCCACGGCAATGCACCACGGTGCTCCCCAGCCTGACATCCCAGCGCTGCCCTCACCCTTGGCCGGGCTGCAGAATAGCCAGGTCAATGTTCCTCAGGCATCAGAAAGCAGCCTGGGAGCCTCCGATGATTCTGACAAACAAGTCTACCTGCGTGTGGGTGTTCTAACATGCAAGAGCACAAGTGTCTCAAAACACACCCAGGCACGCACACATGCACCCCCGTGTGTATACAGAGGCAGAGAAGGGACAGAGAGGCTCCGAGAGACCTTGTGTTCCCGATGGCCTTTGCTATGAACCCCGCGGCCATAGAGGACTGCCGCAGTCTGGCTGGGCACAAATGCCGCAGTCTGGCTGGGCACACAATCACGAGCCACCACACAGCTTGTAGATTCAAACAGCAACTCTTTATTCCCGAACTCACACCAGCCGTCTACAATCACGTTCTGGGGAAATCCACGTTCTCTTCCCAAATCCACCTTCTCTCCCAAATTCACGTTCTCTGCCCAAATCCACGTTCTCTGCCCAAATCCACCTCCACTGGGCTTCTATCTCCAAAATATACTGTCTGAATCCCGTGAGAACTCAAGGGGAACTCAGGCAGCAGGATACGCCCTATTCCCAGCAGGAATAATCTTAAACCTTAAACCTGGAACCTAAACTGGGAACGCCCTAAACACGACTATCTTAAAACCGGGAACACCCTAATCTGCCTTGGTCCTTGAGCAAGGTCACGTACATTCAATGTCACTGCAACATGGGGTACGCTGGCAAGGAAATTGTCATACCTACTTGGCTAATGGCTCCCAGCAGAGGACAATAGTAAAGTACAGCATTTAAAGCTCACTTCAGTAGCTCCCCAGGTAGCAATCACTACTCCAGTGAGGCCAAATCTCAGAGCTCTGATACTGTTCCTTAAAAATAGAAGATGATATTAGTGTCTGACTCACACTAGCATTTTTAATTTACCAAAACCAATGAGAAACTAGTTCCCAGGTCATTAAATTCTGCCCTGGGTGGGCAGCTGGGGATGGTGGGTAGTCTGCTGTGTGTCGGTCCATGGACATGCTGGCCCTGGAGGGCCCTCCTGCCCCTGCCCTGCCCGGTCCCCTCCCACCCCTGCCCGACATTGCCAGCACTGCACAGCGCGGCTCCTTGGAGCCTATTGTTGACTTCGGCTACTGGTCAAGTTTCCTCTCAAGCCCCAACGCCAGGGTGCCAGAGCTGAGCTGACTCATGCTCCCCTGGACCTCCCACCGCCGGGTTTGCAGGCTTGCCCGGAGCTACAAGTCACAGTTCCAGTCAGGAAACCAAGATCACCGCCCCAGAAATTGGCTGCGGACCCTGAGAGTGTACGAGAACAGAAGTGCCCAGTCAATATTTAGGCTGGAAGTTAATGCCTATTTTCTTAGGGCAACTGGCATCTTATTGACTAAATGAATTATTGGTTTAAAAGTCTGCGAGTATGTACGTGAGCTTAAAATGCAAAAGCTTCCGCGGTGTCCCCTTCAATGGAAAAAGACGATCCATCATTGGAATTGCAGAGGTAACATCTTCAGTGAATATTTTATCCTATTTCCAGCTTATCAAATTTCTTCCAAGATTATTTTTAATTTTTTAAGGAAAAAATATAATGATTGTGGTCAAGAAAATGTCCTTCTTCCGGAATGTTCTGGTACCATTAAATGACCCACTGATTGTCAAAATTTGCTCTAAGCCCAAAGCCTCAACTTTTATTTTCTCATTCCCGAATGAGAGATACCCTTATTTCTGTGGCTGTTGGCTCTTTGAGACAATCTAGCAGGCTGCCACCTTGGAGGGAACATATTTTTTACCAAAGCCCTTTCCTGATTTCAAAGGGTATAAAACTCAACTTTAAGGAAAAATTAGCAACACTCTTCTCAAAGAGTGTTGTGGGAAGGAAGCATCAGCCCACTGCATTTATACCAAGCCTCCCCTACATTCCTGGGACAATCCACATGTGTGTGTGTGTGTGTGTGCATGTGGACATGCGAGTGTGTGTGTCTAGGATGAGCAAACAGCTTGACATTCCCCACCGCCGCCCCCCTCCTCCTAATGCGTTCTGTCTGACAAGGTAACTCCAGAGGAGAGCCGGGGAGGGACAAGGAGCTCCCGGTTCAGTTTTGTTTAGTTAGAATTGCCCGTCTCTCCAAAACTGATCTTTTAAGAGGATGGTTTCTATTACCCCATCCCTCACCTGACTGTGGTTTTGCGCTATCCTCTCCTATTGCTAAGTCGCTCTGCTTGCATTTCAAATGACCCATGGTGATCACCGAGACATCTGCATTAGATTGGAAAGTTTGCCCTTTGTTCCTCCTGGAAGTTTTTCTGGGCTACATCATCCTTCCCCAAGCCGTCACCTAGACGCACGTGCAGGGGTGAAGGCACCTGCCTGACCCAGGCCTGCGAGCCCCGCACCTCTCAGTGCGCTTCCTGTGGCCCCGTCTGCTCTTCCTGGCAGAGAGGGCCCTGGCCCTTTCGGGGAACCGTGGGCCTCGCTGCCAGCTCAGCCTGAGACACGGCCTGGAAGGAGTCTCTGCTCCTCCCTGCGGAGGCCTGGGCTGTCTGCCTGTCTAGTCATCCTCTTTGCGGCTGGCCCCAAGATGGAAAAACTGCACTTGGAAAGGCCACTGGCCACCAGCCGGCTGCCCTCTGACCCCAGCTGGGCCAGCCCAAGGGCCAGTCCGAGAACCAGCGGGGGCTGAGCTTGCCGGGTGCTGCTGCACCGCCAGGATGTCTGTGTGACAGGTGACCCTGCCAGCCAAAGGAATCGGCCCTCGGCGTGTTGGGTCTTTAGCAGGTTTAATGCCATCTTCTGTGGCTTCCTCTCCACATCTGTCATTACTCCATGGAATCTTCATGCTTGGAGAGATTGGAGAGATTGTTGTGGAGAGACTGTTGCCTGCCTCCTCTTGAGGGTTCCTTACCTGAGACAGAGACCAGGCCATCTTGCTGCCTGCTCCATCCCGGCACCAAGATCACTCCTGCTCCCAGTCACTTATGGGCACAGTTTTTTATAAATGGAAATCGAGGCTCCAGGTGTCCACCTTCCCGAAGTCCAGCTGCTGGGAATGTGCCCTGGCCCTTGGTTTGTGCTCCAATACTGTGACCCTCCCAAAATGCCATCTCATAGAAGAAGCCCCGGGGGCCTCCTGTGCAGTGTGTGACAGAACAGGATGCTCCTGTCAGTGGGTGGAGTGTCCAGGGAGCCCCCTGGCCTCTCTGGGCTCCTGGGAAGAGTAGGACCTCTGCAGGCTCTAGAGAAGCCCCCTTGGCTCTGCAGAGGCTGTGCGTTACCCACCCATGCTGCAAAATCACGCTGCCACCAACTGAGGGGCTGAACACGACACCACAGAGACTGAGTCTTATAGTTCTGGAGGCTGGAAATCAAACTCAGGTGTGAGCAGGGCGTGCGCCATCTGCAGTCTCTGGAGGAGGCTCCTCCTGCCTCTGTCTGCCAGCTAGTGGCTGCCAGTGGCCCTCAGCCTCCTTGGCTTCTGACTCCGTCACTTCAGGCTGCACCCCAGCATTACATCCTTCCCTGTCTCTTCTTGGAGGGACACTAGTCACAGATTCAGAGCCCACCCTAACAGCGACACCGGCTCATCTGATCCTCCTCTGAAGGACACTGCTGTGTAGGTTGGGTTGATGAGAGCTCTCCCACCTGTTATGGGTCACACTTCATCCCCACTGTCAGGTAGGGTAGCCACTCCACCCAACAATGTCACTACCAAGGTCACTTGGGAGGTGGCTAGGATTAGGTAAGGTCGTCAGGGTGGTGTCTTCATGACTGAGACCTGGGCTTGATGGAGACAGAGACCCTGCAGAGACACACACATGCATGCACATGCACACGCACACACACGCTTGCACACACAGCACACACATACACAGCACACATATACACGCACACATGCACTCACACACAAGCACACACACATGCACACACATGACCACACGCACAGCACACACACATGCATACACAGCACACTTCCTGTCACTTGTCATGGGATGCTCTGTGCTGCCAGTGAGATGGCAGAGAAAAGATCATCACCTGGAGGAAGGGCTGGGGAGTGATATTGGCCAAATTATGTTGTTCTATTGTGCACATACACCAACATGCAACAACTAATCCCATCATTATGCACAACTGTGATGCACCAATAAAAAATGTGGAAAAAAAGAAAAAAAAAACAAGATTATCACATGACATGACCCCTAAAATTCCAGAACCATGAACTCCACATAAGCTTTTTTCTTTATAAAGTAACCTATCTTAGGTACTTTATTATAGTAATAAAAAGTGGACTAAGAGAGAAACTGACAAGGAGACATGAAGAACAGCCCATTGGTGGGAAGCAGCTCTGAAGAGAAGAAGGATAGAACCTCAATGCTCAGGTCAGTCCCTGCGCAGGGAAATGAATCAGATTCATAGAAGCACAGGGCAGGGGCGACCCGAGTAATTGTGAGGATAGCTCACATTTATGGTGCTTCTACCTCCGAGCTGGATACTCTATGTGTGTCATTTCATTTCATTGTCCACTCTCTGAGGAGACTCCAAGAGAAAGCAGAAAGAGGTTAAATAACCAGCAACAAAAACGCCGTCCCCCACAGCACAGAGGTGGGAGGTGAGAACCAGGGAGTCCCCTTCCATTGCAGGATAGTGTAAAACTATCAGTCACTCACACCTTAGTATGAACTAAGAGGATATCCCAAAGGCAATGTTCCCCACCTCCCTGCTCTCTCTAAACCCCCAACTACTGGCATCATTTCAGTCCTCTGAGGATCGGGGGCTCCCGAGCCTGGAAAGCCACACCATCCATTCCCCTTCCCAAGAGCCTGAAGGTGTCTTGCCCATGGTCAGCTGTTCCACCAGCTGTTCACTCATCCAGCCAGCAACCTCAAACAACTGTCACTCCAGGCGCTGTACCTGGGCCAGGGCTGGGGTGTCGAGAAGTCCATTCAAAAGAAATAATCTTAGTAGGTCGATGCTGCTCGGCTCTACAGTCGGGAGTGTGTGTGGGGGGGTGAGTAGGGAGGGGCCAGCCAGCCGGGAACAGAGAAAATGCCAAGCTCCTGTTCCCAGGGACGGCCGCGCCTCAGGGGCAGCCTCTGGGCAGGACTCCAGGACAGACCCTCCCTCGGAAGGAAGGGAAGGAGCCGCTGCGCGCCCCGGGCACATTTTTTTGAAAGTACTGGATGATGTCACAGAACAGAGCAAAGCACAGACCCAGGCTGCGGGTGGCAGCGTGGCAGGTACCTGACGTGGTGGCAGTGACAGGGAGGTCAGGGCGCCCTTCAGTGGGGGGAGTGTGTATAGGACCACGTTTAGAGATGCGCAGTGGGAAGTCACAAAACATGGCCCCTCTGGGCCCCACACATCCTGCAAGGACAGAGGGGACCAGCAGAAATCACCCCCCGTCTCAGAAGCCCAGCTGAGGCCGGAGCACCCCTGTGACTCTGGGGCCACCTGTGCCCTCAGGACAGGGGACTCCTCCCCGAGGGGAAAACCGGTCCACAAAGGCGCACTCTCCAGGCCCTTCTGGAAATCTTGTCTGTTTAATTTCTTCATTTCTAGGGGGGTGGGGCCCCTTCTTCTGGGTGACTCGGGTCTCACGTCCCAGGTCTCTGGGGTGCTCCCTGCCAGGATGAGACGTTCTGTCTCTTCCCCCACTTCTCGGTTTTATGAGAATTTTCTTAGTGATGTCAGACTTCAAAGGAATCCTCCCCGCCACAAAGATCCCGCCAGACTCCCATTGGTGACTCTTTCTCATCCCATGTGAAAGG